AAATAGAGTTTGCTATAATTGATGTACCTAAGTAAGTAAGAAGTTGAATAATATAGAAGTTGAGAGTATATTTGTTTGGTCTATCTATAGTTAGTTGTGGATATTAGAATATATTGATAGTTGATCACAGATTATTTTGCAGTTGCTATACTTGAATATAAATAGATATACCTAGTAGATGTAGATTATTAATCTGTTATAGGAAATTAGTAACATGAAGTTGAAGCTAAATATCTCAGATATTTTTAATGTTATATAGGTAGGGATTAAGCATAGTGCTATTCAGAATAGAATAGACAAGATGTAATTTATGTTTAGCTACAGTAAGGTATTTGAAAAAAATTTGATTACATATGGGCTGTAAAAATACAATATTGTATAATCTATACTCTAAAGTAGGAATAATGACATATTGATAATATAGGCTATCTGCTTGTCTGTAATTTTTTTGAAACTAGCAATGTTAATAAGTTGAAGTGCTTTATCTTTTATAAGTTGAGTTTGTTAGGATTGTTTATTATCAAGAGTATACTAGTAGTCTAAGAACTTAAATGGTTGGTTACAAGATATAAAGTTTAGTAGTGAGTTACAAAAAAAAAATAAATATATAGGTTGATTACAAATAAATACAGATTTGGTAGAATTAATTTGAATATTTGCTATTTAATAAAATAATATTGCAGTCTGAATAATGAGTTAAAATTCTTCTTTGGATTGGGCAATTCAAAGTGTATTATCTATATATGCAAGTACTGAAGCAGAAGTTTGGATTTCTTAATGTTGTGAAGGGTGAAAGCTGGTTTGTCATGAGGCATTTAGTGTATAGCCTATAAAAAAGTTATGATTCTACTAATAAGAGAGTCATAGTAGATATGCCAAAACAGAGAAGTTATGGTTTCCTCTTGATCAATTCTATTATTAACAGAATATGGGTTTGTAAGGCCAAGATTTATAATGACTCTATTGTAGTGATCAGTTAAAAGTTGGTGAGTATGTGTATAAGTTTAGAAGGCATATTAATATGTATGAGAGCTTTATAAAATGACTCTAGATTAACAAATTTATATACTCTGCTTATGTCTTGAGATATGAGCCAAAGTTGTTTAGTATTACAAGAAGCCTCTTTAATAATATTGTTGAGGATATAGATGAAAATAGTTGTACTGCTTTCAGATAAGACAATATAGTTAAATGGAGAGAAGATATTGTGTTAAGTAAGAATATTGTTTAGCCGATTTGTTAGAAGTTTAGTATAAAGTTTTTTTTATGTATTTAAGAAGGCTTATAGGTCTAGTATTAGTAAGATTTCTATCAAAGATAGGTTTTTTTGATATTAGAAAGATTCTCTTCTCTTTCTATTACTTAAGTATTTGGTTAGTTGCAAGATATTAGTTGAAGAGTAAAGTAATAGTCTGTATGAAATCAGATCCAGCATGTTTAAGTATCTCATAACTAATGCCTGAAGGTTCATATGTTTTGTTATTTGGTAGTTGAGATAGAGTTTGAGAAGCTTCTTCTGCAGTAAAGTCCTGAATAACAGGTTGATACTATGCAGTATTAATATTATATTTAGTATTATATTCTATAAGCTATTTAGTATTATATATTTGGGGTTGAGTCAATAGAAATCAAGCAAATTTTTTCTAAGTAAAATTTTTTTAAACTTTAAACAATAATAACTCAACAAAAACTTAATCAAATTTAATAAAAATTTTTTTAAATAAATTCTACAAACTTATAGAAATTTTTTAAAAAAATTTTATTAAATTTGATCAAGTTTTGGTTAATTTATTAATGTATAAAGTTTAAAAAAAATTCAATAAAAATAATTTGCTTGATTTCTATTGACTCACCCCTATTTGTTGATTAATTGCTCTGTATCTAGTCTATTGGTTAAAGTATTCTTGTATACAGAATTTAATTTTATCAGGGTCTGTAATCATATAATTGTCAGATTTGATATTGTCAAATCTGACAAGATCTTTATGTCGATTAAATATGCTATTAATTATAGATGTAAGTTGAATTGAAGCTTATTGCATTGTTTGGTAATATTTTCATCTATTTGTTGCTTTTTTCTTTAATATTTTCAATATTGCGAGCATAGTAAAGTGTTTTCTATTCATTGTTTGCTATATTTATCTAGCCAGATAATGTTAAGTAGTCTGATATTATGTCAGAAATCTGGAGTTGATGTTGTGAATTAAGGTGGGTTAGTGTAGAGTTATAATGAATAGGTATAGATGTTAAGTAGTTTAGAGAACGTTTAACTTGTCTAATAATATTGCCAAGTTTTTAAGATTATAGTAAAGTTTAGAAGCTTTTGATGAAAAGATGTATTAAAAGTTGCAAACAATAAATTTTTTGTTAAGGATATATTGAAGTGCTGTAGTAATAATACTATTTTGGATTTTATCCCAAATATATTCTAAAGATTCTAGTATATTAGTAGTATTAGAGGTATTGTTATCCTTAAGCTTAGATGAAATAGATTCTGTATAGTTTAGCTATTGTTCTTTATTTATACTTTTGTATTAAAAGATTTTTCTTTTGGTTTTAGTTGAATAACAGAGTTTATCTATAAATGCATATGGAAAAGACCAGGAGGATATCAGAATTTTGTAATCACTATTAATACAAGTATTAGTATTCTCAAGATAGAATAAGACTAAGTAGCAAAGGATAGAATGGTTAGCCCAAATATAGTTAATACGACTACTGCTATATCTACTATTATACTATGTAAAGTTTGTAGATTAGGTATGAATTGCCAAATTATAGATATTGTTATATTGCAGGAAATGGGGTAGCTTGTATTTGATAGATAGTAATTGTGTATTATCATTGGTAGTATTAAAATTTCCTATAAGTATAGATTAGATATTCAAGAAAGTTGCTTGCTGAACCCATTGAATAACAGTATTTTAAGTTTGTAAATGAGGCTGGGAATTGTCACAGGACAGGTATATATTAATAATTCTAAACTTAAAGTCATATTTAAAAAAGAGATCAATAAATAGTATATCCTGACTCTTTAAGAATATTATGTATATATGGTTTGAGTCTATTTTGAATCATAATGGTAGCATCAGCTTTGGCGCTGTCTGTGCAAGACCAGAAATAGGTAAATGCTTTAGATTTTTGAAGTTAAATAAGTGCATTATCTTTAGAGATCTTGGTTTTAGTGATACTAATAATGCTAAGCTTATTGGCAAGGCAAAGTTTTCTCAAACTTGTCTTTTAAGGTCTTCATTATATGGCATATAAAGTATTGCTCTATGTCTACGATCTTGAACTGCTAGAGTATTCTATAATAAATAAATTAATTAAAATAATTTATTAATTATTATTATACAGTATTAGATAGCAAAAAACATTCGATATTTATATATAAAATATAAAAAATCATTATAACTCAAGCTCAAATAACTTTAAAAAATCTGTTCTATAGATTTGTTTCATTTAGCATAAGCTAAAATTCTGTAAGAATAGATTTTTATTTATATTATAAAATTAAAAAGTTATTATAGCTTAAAGTATATATATAATTAAAAATTTAGTATTTACTATATAAAAAAAGCTTTATATATTTTTAATTAATTAAAATTAATTATACATAAATTAACCAATTAGAATTGATTATATAATCTTCAAATTTAATACCTTTAAAAAAAAATTAGATGTTTTTTGCTGTCCGGTATTGTATGATTAATTTTAATTTTAATAATATATTATTTTAAAATTTTTTAATATTACCTCTTTAAAATATAACTTTAATTCATTTCAAAATATATCAAATTTAGTATCTTTGAAACCATTATTAATTCTTAAATCTACTAATATATCTGGATCTCCAATTTCAAGCATTAATCTAAGATGTTCATCTAACTCCTTAGATTGGGAATTTTCTAGAGCACTAATATCTCCTGTTACATCATGTTGTAATAATGATAATATATGAGGTATAATTTTACTTAATAGAGAATACTATTTAAATAATTAAATAGTTAATAATTAAATATAAAATATATTTTACTTTTGCAAATTATTTTTCTGCATTGCTCTAGTAAAATATTGTGGTAGCTTATTTTGAATAGAAATAATTGCTTGTGCTTGTAAATTTTCAGATCTTATATTTGGATTGGTTAGTATATACCATATAAAATTTAAGGTTTCAAGATAATTTTCATAATAATATCTATATAACATTATAGTAATATCTAAAGCTAAGTTGATAATAAAGTTATATCTTTGATTACAATTTAATAATAAGTATTTATCAATTGAAATAACTTCATAATCATTTGAGTTCTTTATTATAGTTGCTAATTCTTGATATTGTTCTTTAACTTCACTAAAATGGCATTCTGATTTTAACTCAACAGTACTATTATTAATTAAATTACGAGCAGGATTCATTGCATTTCTAGTTATTGTAACACTTTTATTTATATTTTCAAGATATTCAATATATTTTTGAATAGTACTAATAAATTGATGTACTTGTGTTATAAAAGGTTTCCAACTAATACTACTAGCCTACGGTTGATCTAATGATTCATTAATAGCATTAATATATAGTTCTAATTTATCTCATTCTAACATTCCTTTTTTATGATATGAACCTTTTTTATAAAATTAATTATTTGTATATGACACTAATTCTTTAATAAAATTTGGAAAATATAAACTATGATCAAAAAACTTAGAATGATGTTCATCAATATACCAAATGAGTGTAGTAAGTTTGTTTAAAAATACTTCTCCTATTGTTACTTCATTTCTATTAAACCATCCACAATTCATTTTAGATAAACTATTTATAAGATCATTATATAATTGATTTCGTTTATTGTTATTATCTTTTTGCGCAGGGAGTTTTTTTCTTGTACTTTATTTATCATTAAATTAAATGCATTTTCATTATTACTAGATGCATCTAATAGACTATTAGAAGATTCAACTGAGTCACTAATAAAGTATCGCATATGAGAGATGTTTCACAAATTTGGCTCACAAGCATGTAAACTACCATCTACTCTAGATGCATGAAAATGATATTGATTACTTCCAGAGCAACGAACCTCAACTCTAACTATTTCATTTGATTTATATTCATTATCAGCCAAGCGCAATAAATCTTTAAAAGTTAAGTCACTTTCAATTTCATATAAAGTCTCAGAAATAATTCTGGATGGTTTGCACGATTGCCGATTAACAGTGACAAACAAAAAAAGCAGCATTCTTTAAAGTTTAAGATTTACAAACATGCATATTTGTATATATATGTATATATATAAATATATACTCCTTTTTTCTGAAAATCATTTCTCTAATAGCTAAAAATTGGCCTGATTTATATTGGTATCAGAAAACTCAAATTAAAATTGTATGATAATAATAAATACACAAGCTCTATAAATATATGCCTTGCAACCAAACTTAAATACATCATATGTACGTACGTACGTACGTACATACTATATAGTTAAAATCTATGTCCTGCAACCAAACTTCGTATTACATAGTTAGTAACGAATCAAATTTAGGCCAGACCAATTTAATTCGGTAGTTTACGTTACCCCCCTTCTGCCTTCCCCCTTACTATATGTGCAAAAAATTTCGGAAACCTTTTATAATATCACAGATCATTTCAGAGAAAAAATTTATAATAAATTCCCTCCAACCTTCCCCCTCCCCCTCTTTTGTGAAGGATGTAACGTAAACTACCAAATTAAATTGGTCTGGTCTTAATATAGGTCATTATTCAACATTTAAAAAGCATCCTATACTGAATTTAATTTCTAGATGGCTATGATTTTTTTATATGTTCATTTTACCGGGGACCATTAGGGGTGATATTAACTTAAGAATCAACTTCGAACAGCCTAAATTAAAAAAAAAAACTTTAAATGATAATTTCTTGACAACAATCCATCTAAATTCGATGAAATTTTTTTTAGCAAACTTGGGTAGGTAGTTATTAAGAAATATTGACCAAAAATTTAAAGAAAATTTAGCCGCAGTTTCATTTTTACAGGCGCTCAAACTTTGAACGAAGATTACTCAGCACTCATCTAACCAAATTCGATCAAATTTTTTTTGCTTTAATTCTACGAGATTGTATAATTGAAATAAAAAAATCCATCGAATTTGGTCAGGTGAGTGCTGAGTAATCTTCGTTCAAAGTTTGAGCATCTGTAAAAAAGAAACTGCGGCTAAATTACTTCTAACTTTCGATCAATATTTCTCAACAACTACCTATCTAAATTCGATATATTTTTTTTATTTCAATTCTACAATCTCGTAGAATTTAAATAAAAAAAAATTATTGAATTTAAATGAATAGATGTTGAGAATACATTAAAAAAGTAAAAATTCGCCTGATTTTACCTGTGTATTCATGATATATTACTAGTAAAAAGAGCCTGTAAAAAGAATGTCTATTAGCAAATAAGAAATAATCACTAAATTTTAAATGAATTCCACCGAATACGACGAATAAAAGGTAGCTACCTATAACATAATCATGGATTCACGGGATTCACAGGATTCAAAAAAATGATCTGCAAAATTGGCATATTCAAAAACAACGATAACTTTGAATGAATATTTATCGACAAATAACTATTGAAATTTTTTTTTATTCTGCTTCTAAAAATTTATAAAATTAAGACAAAAAAAATTTCATCGAATTTGGATAGTTATTTGTCGAAAAATATATATTCAAAGTTAAGCATTCATAAAAGAAAAACTGCAGCCAAATTTTTTATTTAGAGTTAAGTGAACGACTACCTATCTAAATTCGATCAAAATTTTTTTATTTCAATTCTACATACCTATAGAGTTGAAATAAAAAAAAAAGTTGAATTTAGTTAGTTATTCGTTGAGAAATCTTCAAGAAAGTTCAAAAAAAGAAAATTTTATCCGATTTTAAATAATTTTTTAACTTTCTTAAAACTTTAGACAAATATTTCTCAATAATTATCAAATAAAATTTGACAAAAAATTTTTTATGTCAATTCTGCAGAGTTATAGCACTAAAATAAAAAAAATTTTCACTAGATTTAATGAAGAGGTTGTCGAGGAACCTTCGCTAGAAGTTTAAAAAAATTCAAAATTTTTAAAACGAATCTTTGATTTTCAATAAAATTTAGCGAATATCATGATCTGCATTTTTTTCGCCATGGCTAGGGCACATGATCCAATTGCAGTGACGAAATTTCTAATATTTGTAATATATTACCAAATTATCATGCAATCTATTTCAAAGTATTATTAATCTTAATTGATTATACTTGCGGTATACGTATGAGTTAAAACATGTCGGATTCATATCGGCATATTTTAATCTCGATATGAACCTGATATTAAAAGAAATTTGGCTCAAATCGGGCACCTATAGGAGACCAATCGGGGTAATATCGACATATCGAATATGCCGATAGCTCTATAGAGCTATCGGCATATTCGATATGTAGTTATGTCGATATTACCCCGATTGGTCTCCTATAGGTGCGATTTGAGCCAACTTCTTTTAATATCAGGTTCATATCGAGATTAAAATATGCCGGCATGAACCCGATATGCTTTATTTCGACCTGTGTATATAGTGTAATGAATAATTTTATGATCTTACCTTTCTTGGTGTAATCTAACAAAATTAGTATCATGATTGTTAAAGCCCTTGAATGAGGCAGTGTACATATTGACATAAGGCTAACACGCTAAGCATGGTGCCTCTGATGTCATAAAATAGGTTCCAGAATTCTCTTTCATATTGATCTAAAGGTATAATAAGTGAAGCATTTATTTTAATAAACGTGAGAACCTCGTTTCATAATTAAGTAGCATAGGCATAATGATATTCTCTCCTTAATTTCACACCATCATTAAGTCGCCTTAATAGAATTACTATGCCCGTCAGAACCCTTTTATCATTCAATCTCATAACTTCTAGTAATGGTTGGAGCTTCATTATACGTTGCTCTCCCAAGCCAACCGTTACAATAGAAGATTTTTTTAAAGTTACTACTTATGCTACGTAGCCTGTGTATGAAATGTGCATTGCTTAAAAGAAATCCTTTTAATAGTAATCGGCAACTTGATAGAGGTAAACAATCTGTGGATTTTTTACACAGAATACCAAATATGAAATTGCAGGATCTTTTGTAGTATGGTTAGCTCCCTCAATAAAATATTAATTAATAACTGTCAAACCTCTCTAAGTGCATGCCATTGAGATCCACTTTAACAACGTGCATTTAGAAAATAGTAAGAAAAAGAGCATTTATAGAGGTCACGTATATATTTTGGCCAGAATTTGAACGTGGATTTAGAGAGGGTGCACTTAGAGAGGTCTGAATGTATCGAGTCGCGTCACCTATGCATAGAGATGGGTACATATAAGCTAGTTACCTACGCAGAATTTTTGAGGACCTACGAAAAATTTTCAATAACTTTTAGCGAAGTTTTTAACTTTTGGCATTAAAAAAAAAAGATGTTATTTCGAAATAACTATGATAAATAGAAATCAATGCTCGTAAAGAAAAAAAACTAAAATTCGAGTTTAAATGAATATACAGTACTGTAAATGAAGCGCAAAGGGAAAGGATACGTATCATTTCATCGACAATCACTTCACCGAGCACCTCATCACGCGGCGTAAGGAGTAATATTGAACAATAATTATTTATAATCAAACAATCATTAAATATTAATCATCGCGCTGTGTGATGGGTGTTCGGTGAAGTGATCGTCGATGAAATGATACGTATCCACTTATAGTGCATCACCAGTTTGATCTGCTCATTTCATAGATACCGACAATCAATTTACCAACAAAAAAGATTCCTTGCATAGACAACACCTTTCTTTGCTTCTAAAACTAACCTTACTTTAATGTTAAATATGATTAATTTTTGTTTATAGAAACTAATGATATGATCCTGCCTCTGGCACATTGGATTGTGCATAAATTGTAAAATTTGAATACGTACAATCTTTTATTTATGAAATTAAAATTTTTGTAATCGAGTTATAATGAGTCAATTTTAGCATTTACATGCTAATAGATTACGCCACTAGTTTCAATTACTTGTCTGACCGTACTTTTTAAGAATAAGGTATTCAATAAAGTAATATTGTATGGCAATACAGATTTGGACGGATATATCTGTTATAAGTCAAGTTGGTTTTAGGTTGAGTTAAATTGACCCGGGTCAAAATGATCCACAGCAGAATTTTAGGGTTAGTGCGGGCCAGTATTATGTTGATGCCAGCCAGGGTTTTTTAATTGATTAATTTGACCCGGGTCAAGTTTAACTCAACTTAAAAACCAATTTCACTCGTAACATACATACAAAATTATAATCGAACATATGACTTGTAAATTCAATTTTTATGATTAACCCTTTTAATGGTTAGAATTGAGGCAAGCATTAGTATTGTTCTTTTTTCTGTTTTAAGATAAGGGCAGATAGTAGAAAAAGTAACTTTGGTTTACGAATTTTTTTTTTTTACTTGTAAACATCATGATTTCTACACGACCGATTGTAAAGTACTAACCATCTGAGGCATAATTTTCAAAGTTTATACCATCAGGCTATTCTTCAAAGTTACTATTCTTTAAAAATATAGTATGTATACTATTCAAGTATAAATCAAATTTCATGGGATTTACAATTTAGTATTTTATGATACGCAATTTTTTTATATCGATCACGCCATTCATGCAGTCGCATTACATGACTAATAGAATACCCTTAGCTTCGATACGGTATTAATTTTACATGAGAATAATGCAAGCAAAAATAATAGAAATGAAGCATTGCCTGTGATTCACTTTTGACAGCGCTATTTAATATTGATCATAATTAGAAACCAAATTAAACTCCCAGGGGCGTTATTTTGGGACAAGGACATTCGGGTCGAGTTTAAGGGTCGAGCCCGAACCAATGATGTTTGACGCATGACGCAACTTGCGTCATTGACGCATGACGAAACCATTTCGTCAGGCAACTTCTAGTTGA